TCGAAAGAAGAGAATAATCAAATCAATCAGAAAGCCACCAACACCGGAACAAGACGTTTACCAATTTTTGGACAGACCAAAGCAAGCTATTATTTTACGCCTTAGAACAGGACACAATCCACTTCACAACCACATGTACACAATTTAAAACGGCAATTCAGCCATGTGCACATGTGGATTGGCACCTGAGCAACAGATCATGTTCTTCAAGACAATACAACATATCAAGGCAAAACTTTTGGCCAAGAGAAACATCGGTGCAAGTCAAACTTTACAGGTTGCTGAGTGAATTACAAAAGACAGTGAAGTTCATACTAGGGACATCATTGCAGATAGAGATAATCTATTTCAAGCAAACAAAAGAAAAAGAAGAAGTAATCAGTAGTTTTCCTGTATGATGCTTTCAACAGATGCAAACAAATGACTCTGAGGTCACTACTCATTGTTCCTAACTCAATGAAAAAGTCTGCCACAGAAGTCAGGGTGTTTCAAAACTGTCTACTCCCCTCATACGCTTGCTGGACTGACAGACTTGCATCACCATGGGTGCTTTACTAATATCCTACCCCAGATGATGTCACAGGACAGTCCAATATTTTAAAGGCTGGTAAGACTGGGCTTCCCAGCTTTCTAATGCTTTTAACAACCCCAACCCACCTACGCCCCACGAGAGAGTGCAACCTAGGTCCTATGACAAGATGCAGCCTATCTACCACCCCCTGAAATATTAGACTGTCCCGTGACCTGTGGATTTCCCGTTTGGGGTAGGATATGAATAAAGCACCTCACCACACTAGACCTTTATTCACCGATGAATGTCTTTATGCTGCTCCTCTTTGGGGCATGTAGTAAGTGGGTGAACCATCTTTAATCTGTCATTATAACGTGACCGTGTTTGTCTGCACTGTGATAATGTGTGCTTAAAATTCTTGACATCCTTAACAATACTGACAGGTTAGGCAATTTCTACCACCCTTTCAAGACTTACTTTGAAGCCCTTCATACACATTCTGTCAATACAACCAAAACAAAACACATCTTCAGCAACACTTTATTTAGTCTACTGTTTTTAGTTCTTTCAAACACAAATCGAAATGACAGAAAAGAATTACAATATTTACATGAAATTTATTTTACAGTGTTCATGAACATGAATTTATATTACAACTTTACAATGAAAGACTTTAAGAAATTCCTGTTCATTCAAAATTTCCACAAGTAAAATGTAAACATGGCGCCTCGTGTCTGAAGCATTCTGGTGCAAAACAAAATGAAGCATAGAAATAAAAAATTTAAAAATATTACAAGAAAAAATACAATATTATTTGCTTGAAGAAAACTTGTTTTTTGGAGTCTCACTGCCTTGTTTCTTTTATTAAGGGTCAGAAATATTCTGGATAACATTATTATCCTGTGCATATAATATAGTAACGACAGTAATTTAATTACCCTTCTGAGCTATGATTGGGACATATAGGTTTTGTCTTTCTAGATAGTGGATGTCTGTTTAATACTTTCAGTTATTTGATATTGCGGGTCTTACAAGGCTTTTTATCTGATGGTATGCAATGGTAGGCAGTACTGGCACCTCTTTTTAAGGCATTACTTTTTTCAGCGCTACTGTGACAGACACTTTGTAGTGAGTACGGGTATCTTTTTTTGAAGACACTTTGTTGTCAGTACATGCATCTTTTTTTTTTCCTAGGAAAAAAGTCCTGATTATAATATTACAAATTATAAGTGTTAAGCATAACAGTTGGTAAGTTTCACCATCATGATTGTGAATAATGATGATTATACTTTTCAAATAACTGTAATAATCAGAATGTGCCATCTATCTATGGATATATTTAAAGTGATCTGGATTATTATTATTATTTTTATTTGTATTTTGTTATATAAATAATCTATTTACAGCTCTCATACATTGAGTATCAAGCTCATGATTAATTTATCAAATGTATTCTAAATTGTTCACAAAAAACCAAACCTAACAATTATCTAAGCTATCACATGAAAAGAAAATCAACTGTTAGAAAAATAATCAATTTTCTGTTCTATTCTTTGTAACAATATTAAATAACTATTAAAAACTTAATTTTAAGCCAAATAAAATTCTGAAATATGAAGAAAAAAAGTTTTATTTCCCTGCCCGCTATAGAAATCGAGGAGCAAACAAAAAATATATGAAGCTAGTCACTATATATATACATAGCTGTCATTATGCAGAAACTGCTACAATTATGCAGATATTGCTATCATTATGCAGAAATTGCTGTCATTAAGCTAATATGACTGTCATTGTATATGACACTATCAGAAGATTTACACAACAAGAAAAACAAACAAAGAACTTTAGATGTTAATTACAACTGAGGAACAATGGAATAAGTAATAAAAATAATCATAAACAAATTTTTTTTTTTAAAGACTAGTAATGATGAAATATACAGAATATGTAAAATGCAGTGACAAGTTAATTACATGCCCCTCATATGGTTTTGCAATGAAGTTGCAAAACTAACTCAAAAGTATTGATCGTCACTCAAAGAAACAGAAAAACGCAATAGGCATAGAAGAACACTCAAGATAAAATGCTGCTTCTACGAGTTCCAATCAATCCTGGTGAATTAATTTAACAGTACTTCAATGGCATCAAGGGTTCCCTTTGATATTTCTGTACTTTACATCTACATGATGAAGCAGAAAGACATCGACTTACACAAATTTCAATTTTCTCATGTCTTATTTCATCCTTGAAACAAAAATATGTTTTTAAAAAAAAACTTAGACTGTTAGAAGAGCTTCAGTCCACAAATTCCAGTACACTACAATCTACTGCTGCTTTGGTCTGGATCATAATATATGTTTTCATGTTTAAGTGACATACCTTTCCCAATATTTTGTTCTTTAACATCTCATATTTTGCATTTTTAACATACTGGGTCAGGAGTACTAACAAATGTACAATTTGAAAAGGCAAATAGTCCACTTTTTTTTTTTTATCTTCAGCTTCTTCAGAACAATTAATTATGTCAACATTTTGACATCTTCATAGATCCAAAGATTAAAAGCTTCTAAAGTAGCAACTGCTCAAGAAAATAAAAAGTCAGAATAAAAGTCATGGACATAAGGCGCCAAAGGAGTAATGGAACAATAATACACACAGAACCAATAGTTAGGCATAGTGTAACTTGTAAGCAGAGAAAGCTTCATAAAGATAAGAAATGGCAAGATGATGAATGATAGTGAAGGACAACCAATAAAGGCAGATAATTTACTGTAACCAATCATTGAGATAAATATTTTGAAATCAAATTAGACGGCTCTGAGGAAAGTATTAATAGAGAGACAAAAACTGAAAGGGAGAAAGAAAGAAAGATGGAAATAAAGAAAGAAATGTACAAAAAGTTTTAAGACAAAACCAGACAATCAAGATACTGAACAAGGTGGACATTATTGAAACAGATACAGAGATCTGGAGCAATTTCAATGAAAGACACAGCAGAGAAAAGGGAGACATATTTACATATTAAGCACTACCAAAATAACACAAGAGAAAACTACTTGGACAGAATATGCAGCAATCATTTGACAGACTTTATTTTTACATTGCATGACTAGCTCTGGCCCTTTCAATTCAGAGAGGAAACTATACAGAAATATGCTAGGCTGTTCCCCAATCAATTAGCATTATTCACAAAACTGTAATAAACACAAAGTCTAGCATAAATATTAGGACTAGCTTGAACACGTGACAATAAATATGTATTCTGTACAATTTACACAAGCAGACATGAGCTGTCTGAAAACTTTCACCACTGCCCGGAACCATTTTTAGTTTAGATTCCTTCAGTTACATGAGGCCATCACTACCCAGTTTATTGGTCAGTCATTGTTTCCCCCCAGAACTGCTGTCCACATGGTTAACCCCTCCAGGATCAGAATAAAACAGGAGCATTTCCCATCAAGCCTGTTCAACCCTGTAACTCAGTTATTTTATTTTAGGGCACCCTTAGTTACAAAACAACCTGGGCCCATTATGGGGATGGAAGTAGGTGTTATGCACTACAGTTAATTCCCATTCAACAAGTCACAGTATACATACAAATGATCATTTATAACTCCAGTCAGTTCCCTTCCAGAAGTCAAAAGTGGTAAGCGTTACCAATTATGGTTTTCCTCAAATATGATGTAATCACTGCTGCCATCACATACACCACGTATTAAAAAACAGTTAGACCTTCATATACTCTAGTTATGACATGCAGCAGCGTAGTCAGTTCCCTTCCCTGTCCCCTTTCTTTCCCAGACAATTTCCAGTAAGAATTTTTCTGGTACCCATTTGCATTAGGCTGGGTTGACCTAAGAGCTGTAACATTCAGAAAAATCTGGCCACTTCTTCGGACTGAACTAGTGCTACTGACTCTGTAGAAACTAGCCAATATGCTACCTCAGCTCTTGTATATGAGGCATACAATGTTGTTACAAGATACAGGCTTGAGGCTCTGATAATTTGAAAATGAAACATATTGTGACTATTGAAGAAGCAGCTGTACTGTGTGATGTGGAAGCTGGATGCTTCAGCAAAATACAGGTTTTAATATTGATGGGGACAAAAGGATTCATGGATATGAAACAATTAATCCATATATTCATTTGTAACTACAAGGTCAATCTATTTCACTAAAGTAAAAACAAGCAGAAATAATACTGTTGTGCATTTATGTGTGACAAGTTTAAAACGGGATTTTAAATCCAATTATATACATATCCACCTACACACAAAGGCCATTTACTACTTAAAATGATGAAAACATGCAGCAACTACTGTTACAATAAGCATTTATGAAGTATACCCTTGAGTTCAGAAAAAAAATGAGATATGTAAATGAGATTCAAATCTGGAAAAATATTGCGTTGAATCTTTCTGATTTAAAAAAAAAAAAAAACGTCAGCGGTGTCAGACTTAGCAGAGTTTTCAGCAGCTTCTTTTCTGACTACATTACAACACAGCTTTTGGCCGCTTCCTTTCTTAAGTGCACTTTAGCTTCATTCATTCCTGTGAATCTCTTGCGTCGGATAAAGGACCTCTGTCGCCTGAAATTGGGACTATCACTGCTGCTGTTGCTGTTGGCACTGCTACCAGTGCTACTATTGCTGACTGTAGTTGTAGTTCCACTATTGTTGTGAGCAGTGAAAGAGCAACCATTCTTTGAACCTGCTGAAGACAAAGCAGCCACTTCCATGACATCATTGACACTTCGCTGTATGTTCTTGGAGGATGTTTCAGAATACACAAGAGCACCAATTTGTTTGGCTGTGTTTAAACCCTGCAAATAAATACAAAAGTTCTGAGTAAATTTACTGAAATATGTCTCTTGTGCATCACTAATCAATTATTTTCATGATTTCTTTAGATAGCCATAAAATCTGCTAGATATTTTCAATACAATCATATCTCAACATCTAATACTTTTATAACAATCCTATTTCAACACTTATTTCTGATACGATTATCTCAACACTTGATACTTTCAGTAAAATCTTATCTCAACACTCAATACAATCCTATCTCATTACATCACAGATAAATAAAAATCAGTAGCATAAGATCAGCATGGAGTATTCAAAGGCAGACAACTATGTACCATGAGGATAGAAAAACTGGTACATGCTTCTGCATTCACTAGCTGTAAAACTCCAGCAACAAGTCCTTGTTGGTCAACTCTGGCCTTGTTACAGGACTGAGTGTTGTGTATGGATCCGTTTTATACATCTAGCCTGCCTATGTGCAGACTGTGGGTTTCTTACCTCTTAAACAGACACACACTAAAACTACTATAAGAAAAGTGCAGACTTGTTATAAGTCCTCTGCAGAATGCTCATCTCATTGTAGCCCATTTGAAAAGACACAGCTGTGTTTGTCAGCCTTGTCTTATATTGCAGGCATCATGCCTTTAATTACTTCTTCCTCTCTAAAGCTCTGTGTTGTTTGATACCATTTATGAATTAGTTTTCTTCAATGTTCACATGTTGCAGTGTGACATTATTTTTTTGTCTGTGTCATTCCCTATGTGACAAAAATATCCATTAAGTCACGTGCATATTTCACTGTCCGATATAATAATCATACATTATCTTCATCTTGTTGTGCCATTTATGCCTCACACAGTGCTCACAAGGTTTTACTCCATTCCTCTCTCTCTCCTGCAAAACTGATACCAACATACTAATGTAGATAAAGGTTAAATTGGAGGGGACTGCCTAGGGTTTTAACCCAGATGGTTAACCCTTACTGAGGGTGTTGCATAAAGCACTAGCTCTGTAGCTCCCTAAGGGTCTCCATAAAAATTGCACTCATAAACTGACTGATGTAGCTATGAAGCAAACCTAGGACACAGATATGTCAACTAATTATGTCTTACGCATTTTTCAATCTTTTAAAGCACTAGTCAGTACAATTTGATTCTCCTCCTATTCAAACCTTTATTTAAGTCACAGGCCTTCAACTAAATAGCACTCCATCATTCCATCTCTTGTGTAAGTAAGTAAATTCTACCCTACCAGGGCATCACACAAACTATAAATACCCGGTGACACAAAGTGCCACCATGTGGATGAAGATAACTCATGGAGAGGTCCCGGAAACCCTGTTCAGCCATCAGGCTGTATTTAGGGCCCCAGGCAAAAGCCAGGGTGGGGCTTCAAAATAACAAAACATTGAGTCCAACATGGGGATGATAGTATGTAGATAGGTAGGAAAGTTCTATCCCACTAGGACATCACACAAGCGATAAATGCCCGGTGACACAAAGTGCTAACATGCGGATGAAGATCACCTGTAGAGAGGTCCCAGAAACCCTCTTCAGCCGTTCGGGCAGAAGCCAGGGTGGGGCTTCAAACAACAAAAAATTGCATCCCACATGGGGGGGTCAATGAATATGAGTATAATTCTATCCTTCTATCTATCTATCTACTTTTACCCCACCAGGACATCACACAAGCGATAAACACCAGATGACACAAAGTGCCACCATGCAGATGAGGATCACCGTGGAGAGGTCCCAGAAACCGCGTTTAGCCATTTGACATATTTATGGCTGGGCTATATTGCGGCCCCTGGCAAGGGCCGTAGTAGGGCTTCAAATAACAAAAAATTGCATCTCACAAGCAGATGACTTGAGTTTTTTTTTTTTTAATTCTACACTTTGTCATGACTGACTGACTTTCTACCCCACCAAGATATCACACAAGCGATAAACACCTGATGACACAAAGTGCCACCATGTGGAAGAGGATCACCGTGGAGAGGTCCCAGAAACCGCGTTCAGACAATTGGCCATATTTATGGCTGGGCTATATTGCGGCCCCTGGCAAAAGCCAGGGTGGGGCTTCAAATGACAAAAAATTTCGTCCTAAAAAGGACGAAACTTGATATGATGATACTTAACTTTGTCATAGCAAGGAGTTCACTCTATGTCCTCCATATTTTTTTTTCCGCTTCAGTTTCCAATTCTCTTACTGCAGGTTTATTTGTTGTTTTTGTTTACCTCCCTTAATTCTTTTGCCCTGAGGTTTCCCGTACAGGAACATTTTAGTCACATTATATCATCATCAGGTTTTCTTAATATGTGTCCTATCCAATACCAGTGACTTTCCTCACCTCTTGAAATGTCAGAATTTGTGTAGTTCTCTCCCTTACATAGTTTAAGTGACAGTTTGTAACCACAGTGACTATCACATGGTAATTGATAAGCTGGAAATATCCATGCTTTAGTCAATCAGTCTCAATCAATCACTTGCTTCTCCAAAATCAGGTTGGTTGCACTAGATCAACACTTTAACTCTTGTTTTGGTAGTACACTCTGTCAGACTGCTGTTCATCCATCTACTAACGTTGTCCTCCCAATTCTATCATAGTCCACCTCTTGCTCTCTTGTCTAAGACTATTTCCTCCAGTTAATTACTTACCCTTATACGTCATTATTTCAGTCATCCCTATGTGGAATGCAATTTTTAGTTACTTTAAAGCCCTACCCTGGCATCTAAGTCTAACTGTATATGCCCAAAGGGATCTGCCGTGGCATAGTGACTAGACACTCGCCTGAGAATCCAAGGTTATGTGTTCAGGTCTTGATGGAGCCAGACTTTTTTAAAAAAGATCTTGGCTCCCAGGTGGACCCAACGTAAGTGCTTACCAGGTAAAGTCATGGTAAGTAAAGGTGGTGTTGGCCACACTGCTCACTGAGTGCTAAGTGGCCTATAAAAAATAGGTCTAGTACTATATGCCCAATACATCTGAAGGCGTGGGAAATGGTCATTTACTGTACATTGACAGGAATGCAAGTACAACACTGCTAACTCTGACCTGATCATATGTGATGTAAGCAGGTTTTGGTTTATCTGGGGGCAGTGCCTTGATCTCATTACGCATGTCAGACTTGCAACCAACCAACATCACAGGGACTCCAGGACACTGCTCTTTCACTTCGGGATACCACTGTAGAGAGGAAACATTTTCGAAAGAAAGTTAGCTGCATTTTCTTTGTTTTCTAAGGCATCACAAATTAACCCCAGCATTTGTTGTCTGTATATTACAAGGTAATTTTACATTCAGTAGTTTGCCACTGCTTCCTAAACTGGTTGGACTCTCTTTATCACTGTCAAAGTCAAAGCCTTTGCAGCTGAACTGAAATGGGTGTGTTGAAATCATTAAACTACGCTCATAACCCCCAAAGCCACAAATGACAAAGTGATATATAATTCTCTGAATTATTGTTACAGTATGCTTACATATAACAGGGATAGTATAGGTTCTACATTGAAGTGGCTGTAAAGAAGAAAAATGAAGATAGAGAAAGGGAAGGAGAGAGAGAAGAGAAATGGAGAGGGATTTAGATAAAAGGAAAGAGAGCAGTGAGAAAAGACAAGACAAAAAAGAGAGACTGGAAACACAGGAGTGAGACAGCAGAGAAAATAAAGAGAGTAAGGAAAATTGTTAAAAATGAGAGCAGAGAGAGAGGGAGAGGGAGGGAGAGAGAGAGAGAGAGAGAGAGAGAGAGAGAGGGAGGGAGGGAGAGAGAGAGAGGGAGGGAGGGAGAGAGAGAGGGGGGGGGGGGAGAGAGAGAGATACAATTCTTCTTCTTCGCGTTCACCAGCAGTAAACTCTGGCAGAAAGTTCTCATTGTTCATCCATTCTAGACTGCAGTCCTGTTCTAGAACCTGAGCGTTGCGTGTGCATCACTTTGAAGGAAGCTCCAAATTAGTCGACTCTTACAACATGATTTTGGGCAGGCACTGTTTTCCCTAAAGCAGGGCCCGGAACCCACACAGTGTAGATGTAAGTATATTTAGAATGTATGTAATGGAGCAGTTATCTAGCATACCTTTGTCACAACATCTTCCATGGTCTCTGGCTTATCTATGGCAAAGCAGATAATGATAAGGTCAGCCTCACCATAGGACAACGGTCGAACCTTATCATAGCCCACGTCACCTGGAAACAAAATAGATTCAATAATAATTATCAACATGTAAACAAAGTGGGTAAATTTTCTGTATAAATTTTTTCCCCATCATGTTTTTGTTTTTAAATCAACCTTTTTATAGCAATTTCTGTGAAGATGTGTTGAGAATAGGTTAGGCACTGTCATTGCATTCCAGAAGTGTGCGATTTTTATGTATACAGTGGACCCTTCGGATACAGAATTTAATCCATTCCATGGCTGATCTCGTGTGGTGATGAATATCTCCTGACATTGGGAGGCAGTGTCTGTCAGTGCAATCTGATAATAAAATATTAGGGGAAGACCGTTCTTCTTTGAACAGAAACATTAAGGAATATACGGAAGGGCTTCAGTGAGTGAGTGTGACTGGTGTAGCAATGGATGGATTGTAATCTTAGATTATCATACAAAAGTATTCTACCGGGAAAACTGGATGTTATGTTTATAATGGATTGTTAAGGGTTTGAGGTTTAAATGGCAGATCAACATCATGGCACAAGGGTAGTAACTAATAAGTGCTCCGTTCTACTTCTAACTCAAGACTGAGTCTGAGCTGTCGCAGCGCAGTGCACGAACTCCATAGCATCGGATCCTGAAATACATGCGGTTAGATTTAAAACCCCAAATGTTGCCCGGGTAGCGCTGCTTGGCTACTCTTTGATTTCTAACTCTTTTTTTAAAACGTGCGCAACAATACACCCAGGCATCCAGTCTAACTACCCAGAGACCAGGGGGGATTACTATATAGAAGTCTACGTGAAAAAAATCCCAGCCTTCACCGGGGCTTGAACCCGGGACCTCTAGCACTCTAGGCAGAGACATGCCTCGAGACCCCGGGAAAGAAACACCCCGATTGTGTGCATGCGATACATCTCTGCATTGCCGACTATTGCAGATAGGCTAAAGGTGCTGCAGGCTAAGTCATACCTCAGAGTAGCTGCAAACAAAGAACACCCTCTGTATGAAGCTTTGGCTACAGGTAAGGACCAGAGGCTGAAAAGGGGGGGAAATCGTGGATGGCTCGAGCAGAAGACACAATAAGACAAGTATGCATGCTGGAGAACACTGGGCGAGAAGAGAAGTGGGTCAGTGTACTAGAGGAAAAGTCTGACCTGTGTAGGTGTATGATTACAATTGGTCCGGGAAGCAAAGAGTAGCAAGCTGGGTGCTACGGAGGTGGAAGTATAACAGTTCAGTTGATTCGCGACAATTAATGCCCTGGTGATCTGATTATCTATACAGATGGTTCGGTGTTGAAAGGAAAGAGAAGTGCCTGTGGGTTCATACCAAAAGCCAATGGAAAATCATCTTTAGTGCAAGATAGCCTAGTATACGACACCACAACATCTAGCATGTGAATGGAGGTGGAGGCTGTAACTGCAGCTCTCCGGTGGCTAGAGAACAAGATGCATACACATGTCGTAATTATAAAAGACTCTGAAAGCATGCCGAGAAAGGTGAAGACAGGGATGTTTCGAGCACAGAGTGGCAAGCTTTACTGGGAAGGTCACAAGTAGCGAGTATACTGACTGCAATGCGTGGGTAATGAACAGACAGACAGACAGACTGGCTGGATCTACACCACTGGTTGGTGAACTGATACATGACAAGGCAGATGTAGTCAAGGCCCTTTAGGAACAAGCAAAGGAATCAACAGAGAAACAAGATTATTATAGCCTGGAGAGAATAAGGCACCTGGGTGTTACCAGAGGGTCTGGTCGGCTCACTACACTCAGATTGTGACCGGTACCATCAGTACTGTAAATTTGCGCTGGCTGCTGAAGATGAGGACGGAGCACGCACGGGAATGACCCGAGTGCTGTGATTTTAATTCTTGACTCAACTTAATTCTAACATTTTGGCCGCAGACCAAAACAGGTTGTCTACCCCAGAGCTACTCTCTCCCCACCACCCATCCCACGGCCAACTCGAGCCTCACGGGAAAGTCATTAATACATAGTTAGCAAACAAAAATACGGAACCATCCTGTCTTATTAACCTGACCTGAATGCGGGCATAATTTTTCTACTTGTGCGCATAACGGATTCCTAAATTACGAATAGCTTTAAATTAGCAAGACAATCTCCTAATGGCAACATCCGGGGTTGACATATCACATAAACAAAGCTGCTTGACATGGCGGAACGTTCCTTTCCCACAACCTCCCAGGCGGGAGACTCCACACCCGAGTCTGCTTTAATAAAGACTGCACTTCCACGTTAGATGAGAGGAAAGTGGGAGTATGGTAAATGCAGACACAAATCATTGGATCCCACTTTAATGTCAACGTCCACAAACAAGAAAGGCAAACATAGCATGAGGAGAAATGTCAAACACCTGGCTTCATTTGGGGAAGAGATTATTGTGGAAGGGGAGATGCGGCGGCAGAAGAAAAAAAACGGAAAAAAGTGATAACATACCGAAAGTTGATATAATGAAACAAGAATATTTATAAACATGAATCTGCACGAATGGTGGTTTAACATGGTGCTTCGCCACTATTTATATGTTTTTCAATTATTTACTGTAATGTTTATGTTTTTTTTTATTATTTTACTATGTATATATTTTATGGCTGTGAAATTGGGCTGACTTATTCGTACCAAGTGAAATGACCAAATCGCTTTCACGAGCGATGCCTAAAAAGAATAGATGGCAAGACAAGACAACGAACATTGAAGTGCTGGCATTACTAGTTTTCTCAATGCTCTGTCTTCGACAGTTCAGTTGGCTAGCTCACACTTGGATGATGGATTATGGCAGTCCATGAGGACATCCTCTATGTGTCCAGTTCTCAACATGTAGGTCGCGACCCTTTTATGGATCGACAACCATTTCACAGGGCTTTTGTCTGGGTCTTCCTCTTTTTTTCTGTTTTGCGTTGATCGGCTGTAAACTCCGGCGGGAAAAATTTTTTGGTTGTTCTCAACTTTCGGACTCTGGTCTTATTCCAGAACCTAAACACGCGTGCGCATCCGTTTTACAGATCTAGCTTATCTCTGGGGCAACTGAACCCCGGTTTTGAAGAAAACACTCTAATTAGTCGACTCCACTACGTGACAATTAGGGTGGCAGTGGGTCTATTCCCCCCCCCCCCCAAAGAAAAACAGGGCCACGGAAGCCACACAAGAAAGATGTGGGTTGAAATCTATGACTAGCGGAACGGCCATTAGGTCATCTTATTCTATAATACATAAAATACACTATTCTTTCCTCTGCAGCTGTTGTGTTCCGTGACAGCGGGTTGCGTCAGGTGCCCCTACCCTCCCAAACAAAAACATCTGTGGCCACATCTCGTATCGTGGAAACCTCAAAAATACAGCAGTTATGCTTAGGTTAGGTGTCACATAGCTTCAGACACGCCACTCCACACAACACACTGAAACAAGAGTCAGAAATTCAGAGGGAAAGAAATAGGGAGAGTAAAAAAAAAAGGCGTCGGGATGAAACAGACAGAATAACAATGAGAGAGAGAGAGAAAGTCAGAGTGAGAAAGAGAGTCGATGTGAAAAAGAAAGAATGAGAGAGAGAGAGAGAGAGAGAGAGAGAGAGAGAGAGAGAGAGAGAGAAAGTGAGAGCGAGAAAGAGTCTGTGTGAAAGAGGTAGATTGAAAAGAGACACAAAAAAGAGACAATGGCAGTGAGTGAGAGAAAAAGTAAAAGTAAGTAAGAAAGAGGGTCGATGTGAAAGAGATAAAATGACAATGAGATAGAAAGAAAGAGGAACTACTATGAAATATAACAGTGAAAAGCCAAGAGAGAAAAAAGAGAAAGGAGTGGGTCTAAGAAAGTGTTCGAAACAGAGACGAGGATAAAGAAAGACAGCAAGAAATACACAAGAGGCGAAGACTGAGAAAGAGAGAAACACGCACACACACACACACAGAGAGGGAGAGAGAGAGAGAGAGAGAGAGAGAGAGAGAGAGAGAGAGACGGAGCCCCAGACAAACCAAGCATTGCACCAGACACCCAAACATTTCCCACGCTCCTCCAGGTTGTACCAACAAGCCGTCTTTCTTTGCCGCACACACACACAACCACGTACACAAGGCAAGTGTGGGGAGCAGCAAAGGCTGGGGGATTTTCCCGCCGCTAGTCGCACACTGTATTGTCAGACTTAAACCCCAAAGAACGAAGAGATGTGACATTATCTCCATCTTCTGCACACGCTGTGGTAACTGAACTACACATGATAGTAAACGTTCAAGGATTAAAGCAGTGAGTGATTCTCAACCTTCCAAACACCGCGTTCCCTTTAGTACAGTTCCTCATGTCATGGCGACATTCCCCCCCCCCCCCCCCAACATTACAATTATTTTCGTCGTTACTTCATAACCTCTTTAAATTTTGTGGTTTTTTTAAATGGTCTTATACGAACCACTGTATGTTGCTTTTATTGATCTTACCAAGGCATTTGATTTGGTTAGTCGAAAAGGTCTGTCCAGCGCACTGAAGAAGATTGGATGTCCACCTGCTCTACTGAGCATTATTGTGTTGTTCCAGACAGGTGTGAAAGGTACAATTAACTTTGATGGTGTAAAATCGGAAAAGTTTGAAATCAAAAATGGACCGAAGCAGGGGTGTGTACTTGCTCCTACCCTCTTTGGAATATACTTTTCACTTCTTTTGACACATGCCATTCGAGATCAGGAGGGTGGTATATTCATTCAGTCTCAATCTGACGGCAGCCTTTACAATGCTCGCAGGCTGAAAGCCAAACCAGGATTATAAAAAAAAGGTACTTATCAGAGAGCTGCTGTTTGTAGATGATGCCGCAATAACCACCCACTCAGAGGAGCAGCTACAATGTTTACTATCTGCCTTTGCTGATGTATGATGTGAATTTGGACTAACAGTCAGCAAAAGGAAGACAGTCTACATTGATGGTGAAGAGCTTGAGACGGTAGACCATTTTACCTATCTGGGCTCCACAGTGAAAGGAAACTATCGTTGGACAAAGAAATCAACATCGGGATAGGTAAGGCAGCAAC